GTCTAGGCATTTACAGCTTAATACCAGTAATGAAACCTTTGCCACATCTAAATATGTTTTATTTTCCGGTATTACAAAGTGACAGTGACTCGTCCTGAACATTTTTTCTGTTTACAGCATTTGGCATCAACAGCATTTTGTATCAGCGTGGCGTATATCCATCTGAAACCTTTACTCGAGTGCAGAAATATGGACTCACCTTGCTTGTAACTACTGATCCTGAGCTCATGAAATACCTGAATAATGTGGTGGAACAACTAAAAGGTATTTAATTGTTGGAAACAGTTTTGAGTTTTTTCACACCATCTAGGATCCACATTTTCTAGCATCTTCGTGGTCATTTTTCAGCTTTGTATATAGAAGGTATAAAACACTGTCTCATATATAGTGACTCAGTTGGGAGGAAGCAAATAATATAAATTGAAAGAAAGTCCACTCTTGTCCCATGACATTTTTGAGTGGGCAGATTCCTATTTTGATATGGCTTAACAAAACTCTCCATCAACTTCAACTATTTCCATTCGTCTTTTTAAAAAATCCTACCAGTGAGTCAGTGAGCCTTTTCTAAACATTCATTATTTTTTTTTTTTCTTTAGCTCAAGAAGTTGCCATACTGTTGGGTCAATACTTGTTTTGCATCTGTTTTTTTCTTTCTAGAATTCCATTAGTTTTGCTTTCATGTTTCTTTCCATTTAGGACCCTCACTTCCTATTTTTCTGAGTTGTAGGATATTCCTCCTTGTCTTCCCACTTCATCTTCCAAAGTTCTAGTTCCAAAAAATGCTACAGTGGTCATCTTTTTTTAAATTTTTTAAATTCATGAATCATTTAGTTTGTTTCAAGTAGCTTCATTTTAAAAATTCCATCGTATTTTTATTAACTTCAAGGCTAAATCACCCATGAGCCTTCGTAGGGCTGCACTGGTCTGACCGGTCCTGGAACCTCCAGGCACCGATGGATCTGTCTTCATCTTGGCTTGATGGAGAATCGAAACTTGCCTAAGCTACTGGACTCTGGGGTTGTCCCCTTTGAGAGTACGCTGATGACATTTCATCTCAGACAGACTTTCCTATTTAACATCTCTTATTTTCGTAAAAATGGAGGATTTGCGTCTCTTCAGGGCAAATTGTTCAGTCTGCTTTGAATCCCATCCCTCTGAATTTCTTATGGGCTCTAGCCTATTTCTTTCTTGTGTTTTTGACTTAATTTGTTTTGATTTGGATCATTTCCAATTTTAAAAGAAAAAAATTACCGCCCAATCTCTTCCTTTTCAGAGCTAAAGTTGTTAGTCTGTACTAGGGGTCAGCTAGGCTGAGAGGCCTGATCCAGCATATAGCCTGTTTTTGTAGTCTACAAGCCAAGACTATGTTTACACTTTTAAAAGATTGTTTTAGGAAAAAAAAAAAAAAAAGCAACCAAGACCTAGGTGGCCCACATTCCTTAAATATTACTAAGTTATTTTCTGTCTCTTTAAAAGCCCCTGCTGGTTCCTGAATATACTACTCCAATTTCCAGGATGAATTCAAGGCTCGATCTCAGGCCCCTTCTCACTGTGATCTCTAGAGTCTCTGACAGTGCATAGCTTCACTGACAGCCTAATTGTTGACTCAAAACTTCCATCTAACGCGTCCTCCCTGACGCCAGGTGCACTGGCTCCCCTTATATCTTTATGGGACCATCCCAGAGATAACTTTAGACTCAGGGCGTGAAAACTAAATCTAAGGTCATCGTTTCAGTCCTCTGTCCTCTTGGTGACTGGACCATCCCTCCCACCAGTGATCAGCCAGAATCTGGGGGCTATCCTACAGATACACTCTCTCCTGTCCTTCAGTATATTAAATGCTTTTGAGTCTCAGACCTAAATTCATAGTTTAGCTAGAACTCCCTCAGGGAGTCAGCTTTTGCCATTTTATGCTCGCTTTGCTTCGTATATCACACCTAGCAGTTCTCATGGTAATTTCACGTTTACTGGTGCAAGGACTAGTGCCCGTCTCCCACACTTGTACCGTGGGTTAGGACAGAAGTACTGCATGTCTCCTGCTCAGCACCCAGCACCACACCTGCACAAGTGCTGAGAATTCGAAAACAGGAGCCGGGTTATTATTGATGGGGCAAGTTTCCTATGCAGGTTGGGGTTCCAGAATGCCAGTGGTAAGAATCTGCCGAGGGCGTGAGCTGGGACCTGAGAGAGTCACTCTGTGATGCAGCAGAGCAGAAACGGTGCCTTGTTGTGTATTGCAGATTGGTTATACAAGTGTTCAGTTCAGAAACTGGTGGTAGTCATCTCAAACATTGAAAGTGGCGAGGTCCTGGAAAGATGGCAGTTTGATATTGAGTGTGACAAGACTGCCAAAGATGATAGGTAAGTATGAATTAAATTGTTTCCACTTTTATACATTTTTTCCAAAATGTTTTCTTTACTAGATGAGTTCTGATTATATTGAACTAATTTCATGTAAGGTATAATTTGTTTCTAAGATGTGTTAATTTGAGTTCAGTCTCCTGTGGAAAAGAGTTTTGCCCACTTTAGCATGTCATTGGTTTGTATAGTGCACTTTTAACATAATTGCTGAGTCTTACTCTGTGAATTCCACACTTTGGTGTTTATGGTGGTGTTTGTAAAACCACACATGATATGAGATGGGCCCTTTAGTGAGCTGTTAGAGGTGCTCGTACCATCAGGGCGATCCCAGACTTTCCCGGCTTAAGGTGCGGCTTATTTGATTTTGGAAGCATTTAATGAACTAAATAATCTTACCAATGCTTTAAATAATGTGTTAAAATTAAAAATGAGTCAATGTGGTTTCTTTGACAGCACACCCAGAGAAAAGTCTCAGAAGGCTATCCAAGATGAAATCCGCTCAGTGATCAGACAGATCACAGCTACTGTCACATTCCTGCCACTGCTGGAAGTGTCCTGTAAGTATTACACAGCTTCACATGGGCTTAAATTTGTTGGGGAAAAGACTAATCTGCTGCTTTAAGAATTATCCCTTTATTAAATTTTTTTTATAATTATCAATATTATATACTGTGAGGGAAAACAATATAAAGCAAAAGTTATATGCATTCTAGAAAACTTAGAAATTCTGAAAAGGAATGAAAGTATTCCACAGTACTCACTCTTGAACATTTTGATGTAATTCCTTTCACTCTTTTAATTGTCTGCAGATTTTTCATGCATGTAATTAAGACTAGCTTTAACTGTGTCTTGCTTTTCTTAGTTACTGCTTCAGTCATCAGACCCTTCCTGACTACCTGCTGTTACCCAGCTATCTACCAGCCCCTGTTCTGCACACTGGGACACAGCAGTCACAGAATCAGCACGTTCATTTTCTGTATCTTAACAGTCATGCTGTCCCATGTGATTATACTCTTTCTGCAAATATTTTTTAATGGTTCTCTCTTTAAAGAGAAAACTTGAATGTCATAAGTTGAAATAAAAGGAGTGTAGTTATTTTCTACTAAAAGGAATTACCACTGGGGAAGAGCAGTAACCTAGTAATTAGAGACCAGGCTCTCCTCCCCTTTCTGGCAATATGGGTGGTTCAAAATGAGAGAGAAACGGGGACGGTAGTTTTACTTCTGAAAAAATAATGTACTTTAATGATCTTGTCCCATATTCAGGTTCATTTGATCTACTGATATATACAGACAAGGATCTGGTGGTACCTGAGAAATGGGAAGAGTCGGGGCCACAGTTCATTGCCAATTCTGAGCAAGTCCGTCTCCGTTCCTTCACTACTACAGTCCACAAAGTGAATAGCTCGGTGGCCTACAAAATCCCTGTCAACGACTGAAGATGAGATGAGACCGATGATGTGATTCTCAAACGTGCTTTTCCTGAAGCCACGTCAACAGTTCATGTGTTTTATTTCATTGGTTAATTTTTAGATGGAGAAATTTAACATACTTTACTGAGCTATGCATAATTGTCCTATTTTTTGGTACCTGTTTGACTTTCCATAGGGTGGACATAATTTTTTTGCACACCAGGACAACCAGCACATTACATCAACACTGTCATGTCAGTTCATTTGAAGGTGGTAAATACAGGTGGCAAAACTTCCGCTATAAAGCTAAATGCCTTCCTAAATCAGACCTTTTGGTCAAGTAGCTTGACTCAGAATATAGGTAGGGAGATATTTAAATGTGAAACACAACAAAAGAAGTCTGAATATTCAGAATCTTTGTTTAAATCCTAAAGTAACTGGTAATCCATAAACAAAATATTGCTGTTGGGTCCTTTTGCCATTTATTGCATTTGTATAGTTTCCATATTGAAAAAACTCCAGTTATTTGATTTTAATTTATATAACTAACACCTACAAAGCTACCGATAGTTCTACTTTTTAAATTCTGGTGATACAGAACTCTTAAAAATGTCTTTTTGTTTTTTATAAAATCAAGCTTTAAATAACAGTGATAAATAAAGTTAAATGTGTATGTTTAAATGTGCCGTAAGTTATTTTTTTGCTGGTATGGTGTTAACAGTTAAGTAGTAAGATGGACTCAGCATAGTAGTCCCCCCTTATCTGTGGTTGGGCTTTCTGTGGTGTCAGTTACCCATGGTCCAAAAACATTACATGGAAGATTCCAGAAATAACAATTCATAAGTTTCAAATGGCATATAGCATGACAGAAGCTCATGCCATCTAGCTCTGTCCTCCCCAGGGATATGAATCATCTTTGTCCAGTGTCTCCAGGCTGTAGACACGCCCCACCCTTCTCGGGGATCAGACCAGTTACCAAGGTTGACAGTGCTTGTTCAGGTCCCTCTCATTTTACTTAATGGCCCCAAAGCGGAAGAGCAGTGATGCTGACGATTCAGACATGCCAAAGAGAAGCCATAAGCTGCTTCCTTTAAATGCAAAGGTATGTAAGTACAGGAGAAACAGCATCTGTAGAGTTTGGTACTACCCACAGTTCCAGGCATCCACTGGGGATCTTGGATAAGGGAGGATGACTGCCTAGCTAATATTTCTTGTGCAGACTGGGTTGTAGGGCCTAAGGATACAAAGTTAAGTCTTGAAGTACTTTGAATTTAATGGACAATCCTTGATTATATCCCCTTCACCTCATAACGGTAAACTTCAGTGCGTGAAGTGATCAGTGTCATTTGGAATTAATACAGTTAGCAAGTATTGGATTGTAGAAGCCTTTTGTATACTCAGTTTATTGTCAGCCTAGTGTTCCTTATACATGTAAACACCATGTCTATTCCTGTGCCTGTGGCTTCACTGATTCTCATTGGTATGTTCTTTTATCCAGTTCCCACCTATCTTTCCAAGGTCAATTTAAGGCAAACTTCTAGTCTTATCTGTTCTAAATCTTATTTTGTAATAATTCAATTTATCATGGGGTTAGTATCAGACACTTTTCTAAGCTCTTTATGTGAATTCATTTGACCTTCGCTATTAGGTACACATAGTCTCTATCCGTTCACTCAAAAATTACATTCTGAGCATCTATTAATGTGCAGAACACCATGTGCCATGTGCCGGAGGGAGTGGAACAAAGTCCCTCCCTTTCTGAAGCTTGAGATTTTGAGAGGAAAATACGAAGTGACCAAACACACTCGCTCCGTTATGTGTTTGTCTTCGTGCTTTCCTCTCGCATCTCTGATCTAAGTGCGTGCTTGTTACGGGGGAAGGGCAGCGTCTTTGTCCTTCCACCTCTGTGCTGGGCACAGGCGCCAGGTGTGACCGGGGATGGTGGGTGCTGAGAAGCCCACTCCCTAACAGTCGTTGAAGCTATCTAATTGAGGTCCACCCACAGGCCTTTTTTTCCTAAATGGGAAAAGTAGATCTGCAGAAATGGAAATGATGCTGAGTTAGGTATGGTCAAGAGTCAGGTTTCCAAACGACATGAGGACACTGTTCAGATGAAAACATTTGCATTCTTGGGCTGTTCATAACCTCTTAACATTTGAAAGGCAGGTTGAGAAGGAAAGCAGAAATACAGAGAAGCAAAAGTATGGAGAGAGTTGAAATTGCTGGTCTTATTTTTAGGAAATACGTTAAAATCTATCGAAAGTAGTGACTGCTTCAGGGAATATACTTCTTTGCCAAACAAGGGAAATAATAAAATGGTTCTTCCCTCAAAAGCTCACCAATAGCAACATTCTTGTATATTACTAATAACACTTAAATTTGTTATTTATGTCTTTATCAAACAATCCTAATATTACCACTTGTGTGATTTAGCATGGTACTGACTTCTCTCTCCTTTATGAGTTATGCCCAGAATTAATGCTCTAGACTTGATTTTTAGTCTCAGAAATCAGAGATTCTGCCACACAATCTATTGCCTACAAATGACTCTATAGGACCAGTTCTGCATCAGGCTCTTCTTTATTTGAAAACAGCAAAAACTGGCTTTGGAAAAATTTAATGGAAGAACATTCGCTGCATAAGAAACCAAAGGGATCCCTGAAAACCAGAGGAGGAGGGCAGCTTTGGGTTCTCAGGGACAAATCTGTGATCTCTATATGTCTTTATGTGATAAATGGACCACTGGCGTGGCCCAGTGATCGACCCAAATGACTCAGATTGATGGTTTCAAGGAAAGTGCCAATGAAAAAGCTTTGTGTTTTAACAATCTGAGATGTAAGACTAAGAGTTCATGAACATGTGAAAGCGTGTTTTTAAATACACTGACCACTTCATCTTGGCCAACATTAATTAATGGTTAAATCAGATTTTTATGCTACTTGCATGTTACCATCTACTTGGTGAGGTTTCTGAGGAGCTGGCTAGGATCTTTTTTACCCTTACAGATCATGTGCCAATTAAAAAATAAATACATCGGAGTTGAGTGGGGGCCAAGATGTGAGCATCGGTAAAGCTAGATGGAAAAGCTCTGGCCTCTGAGTCCAGCCGGACTGGGCCCACCCTCTTTCGACACCTTGACGCTTGCATTAGGAAGGAGGTGGTGAAACTGACAGGTGGGAGAACTGTGTCTGACTTCCACGCCACGTTACAACAGAGAAGCCCAGGTTCCAAGAGACGGTGGAGGCCTCGAGTCCCGGTCTGGACTCCGACAAGTTCCACTTGCTATAGGCAGAGGAATGAAAACACGCTGCAGTTGAGCCCATGGAGGGAAACAGCCCCAGAAGGCACCAAAGCACTCCTGGTCCTCGGGCTCCTCCCGCCCACGCCATCAGCCAGCGGGGCGCTCACGCTGAGGAATACCGAACTTGGGCACTGCTAGATGGCTTTTGCTGCACAGCGACAGCCGCAGAATATCAACGAGCATTTTCCCCCAGCAAGTCTGCAGGCCAACTGCATGCCTGTCTCACTCCTACGCACGTCTGCAGGTCACATGTCTCATCTCCCACTGAGGGCAGTGGCTGCCAGAACTCAGGCAGAGCTTCAGAATGCTCCCACTGAGACACCGCTTCCCACCCAGGCACCGCTCCTGGCTAAGCCAATTTCAATGGGGCAGGAAATATTCTCCTCCCATGGAGATGGGGAGGTGTAAAACTCTGATCAATGATGAATGTGACCTAACAGACCAAAGGTTGTACACTTTTTCTTAAAGTGCCAAAAATAGCAGAGGCCCCGCAGGCACACAGTCTCTCCCACACCTACTCCAGTCGGAAAGCAGCTTTAGACACTAACAGGTAAATGGATGAGGACGGATGCGTTCCGATCACAAAACCAGGCAGAGGGCTGATCTGGCCCACGGGTTATGGTTGCCAACCCTGTACTCGATCAGAGCTCGCCCTTTTGACAGTATTCAACCTCACCTGGGCTCAGAGCATTTGCTTTGTGACATTTAGGGCTCATGTTTACAACAACATCATCTGTTAACTCCGTCCACAAACCTCATATTGGATGTCCTTCTCTACCTTATCTCAATCTCATATTCCCTGAAACACGGCTGGCTACTTCTTTGAAGTACTTCCTCAGGACACCCCACAGTGAATTCTGATCTGAAAACTTGGGGAAAAAGGTTTCTTGGCAGATGATACATAAAAAAGAGACCCAGACTAGTATAAAGGCCCTATACCTCTATTTTCAATCACTATATAACCATGTACGCTGAGCAAACATTTTTATTAGAATGCCTGATTCAGGCTTCTTAGGTTCATTATCCTCCTTTATATTTTAGAATACAGACTCAAAAATTGTTAGCTTAATAATGCAGATGTCCATATAGGCATTTAATATATTTTACCTTCTTCATTTTTTTAGTCAGTAAAATTCATATTATTATACATTAAAGGTCAGAATAGCTATAACCCTATCTTGTAACACCTATATTTTCCACCAGATGTCACCAATGCTGTAATACTCAAATTCGGGTGAATTTCTTTTGACTAGGACTACGATCAGCTTTTCTTTTGGGATATCTGGCTACAAAAATATAAAGACAACGGTGCAGGGGAATATGACATCTGTTATTTGCTAGGCACTTTACATGAATTCTTAAATTCTCATGCTTTAGCGCATAAGTAGAACTGTGGGGCCAGCGGGCATGCAAATTACATTGTTTCTTAAAGTCTAGATGATCACTCTGTCCATCCTTTTAGCATCTGAGTGTTCAGAACAAATTAGTTTCCCTTTACTGTCCCTCACAGAACTTGACTATATCTCCTTGGGTGAGTTTGTATTTCCACTTCCCTCAGATGACTTTGACCAATGAGTGGAAAGTACCAAAGGACGAAGAGGACTTTGCCTTATACCTCGCCAACACTGTCTTAAGAATACATCAGGTGTGAGACTGTGAGCGGCTGTGAAACTCACACAGTTTTCCACTAGTCGGAAGAACCCTGGTCGTTCTTCAGGGGGAGTAATTTGTGGTTCAACTTATAAACAATAATTTCTTATTCTTTTTTATTAATTATATGAAATGACATTTCCAGTTATTTTGTTCACTGTAACCATGATAAAAGTTGGTGTTGGAATAACTTTGGAATAGGC